GCGAATCCCCACACCACCACCACCCTTGCCGAGAACCCAAAGATAGATACTCGGCTGATGACGGCGAGCCCCTTGCTTCTCTCCGGCGAGGCCCTCCCTTCTCATTCCTTCATTCAAAAATCGACTGGTGCCGAATCCGAAAATCACCTGACTGATGTGTGGCTAAACTGTATTTCTTTTGCATTTACGGGTGTGTTTGTTGTGCTGTATACTCGTACTGTACCAGCTCTATATGAGTGTATGTATGCTACTGTTCGCCGGTCAATGGGTTCCGTATTTCTACCCATCTAACAGGGAGTACAATAGTACTCTACGGAGCACCAACTTCTACTAAACCTAGCTAGCTCTTAAAGGCGAACATCTTCCAACCGTACCCGCACCTTGCAGCGACGTGTGTGGATTGTGATTATTAAAAATGCCCAGCGAACTCTGCCTACCAAACTCAAACTGTAGCGGTACGTGCCAAGTACGAGAGGGGGGCTGGAACCAAAAACACGCGGGCTCCACCGCCGCAACCGCACCGCTTCCCTCCCTCCCGCAACCACCACCCAACCCAACCCACCCCACCACGCCCCCGTCAAACTCACTACATGCTGCCGAGTCAATGCGGACAGAGAAAAAGGCCAACCAACACACACACCACGCCATATATACCGCTCCGCCTCCGCTCTCCCGCCTCAGAAACAGGAGAGAGCTCGCTTCCTCCCTGCCCTGCCCTGCCCTGCTCTAGCACCGGCCTGAGCTCGCGCGTGGTGTTACTGCTGAGTTTGGCCGGAATGGGGCGGTCGCCGTGCTGCGAGAAGGAGCACACCAACAAGGGGGCCTGGACCAAGGAGGAGGACCAGCGGCTGATCGCCTACATCAGGGCCAACGGCGAGGGCTGCTGGCGCTCGCTGCCCAAGGCGGCCGGCCTGCTCCGCTGCGGCAAGAGCTGCCGCCTGCGCTGGATGAACTACCTCCGTCCCGACCTCAAGCGCGGCAACTTCACCGACGACGAGGACGAGCTCATCATCCGCCTCCACAGCCTCCTCGGCAACAAGTAAGTCGCTCTACCCATCGGCCTCGTCGACGTGCCTTCTTCGTATACAGCAGTATGACTTCTTTGCTGACGACGGGAATGCTCGCTCGTGCAGGTGGTCTCTGATCGCCGGGCAGCTGCCGGGCAGGACGGACAACGAGATCAAGAACTACTGGAACACGCACATCAAGCGCAAGCTCCTGTCCCGCGGCATGGACCCCCACACGCACCGCCCGCTCACGGCCGTCGACGGCGGCGCGGCATCCCGCCCTGCACACATAGCAGTGCCGGCGAGGGCAGCGCCACCCACGATGTTCGCCCTGCCGACAAAGCAGCCGCCGGTCGTGGAGTCGTCGTCCGACGACGGCAGCAGCGGCGCGACGAGCACGGGGGAACCACGGTGCCCCGACCTAAACCTCGACCTGTCGGTGGGCCCGCCGGCGGCCGACACGCCGACCTCGCACCCGGTCTGCCTCTGCCGCCACCTCGGCTTCCGCGGCGGGGAGGCATGCAGCTGCCGTCAGGCCGACAGCCCGGGCTCCCAGGGGGGCGGGTTCAGATATTTCAGGCCGTTGGAGGAAGGCCAGTACATATGAGACGAGACGAGACGGCTAGGCCCTAGGCTCCACAGCAATTTGCAAGACGGTGAATTTTTCCACCTCCACAGCACCACCGTCTCACAAAACGGTGAAAAAAACGGTGAAAGAATATCTAATCTGTTCATAGTATTTCAACCATGAATATTTGTCCTCTCTGTCCCTAATTTTGTATCGTTGGTTGGTGCTGTGTTTGGTGGAAAAAACGAGGGGATAATGTGACAAAGGTTGGTGTGTGTTTTTTGCGGAAAAAAGGGAGGACCTGATGTGAGGTAGCGGACACATTATTGTTTCGGGCATCAGATTCCGGTGTTCCTTTCCTGTGCAGTTTCGGTCATGTGGATGGATGTTGCGCAAGGCAATCATGTGGTGTGTTTTTTGGGTAGGTATTTCGGCTTGTCTGTGTTTGCACTCCACGAATCCTTCAGTTAGCAGGGAGTTAGGCAGTGAAGAAACTCGTATGGCCAAACAATGCTATTCTATTCTCAAGTTTGGTGCCTTGGGGAATGCGGTTCTTCCAACCGTGAGAGATTTTATGCTTAAACTTTCATTTGGATTGGTTATAAAGAGGTGAAATGGAAGCATTTCGAAGAACTATTAGGGCATCTTTAAGGTGGACACACAAACCTCCCGCAACCGTACAGATCGAGCTATCCGAACCGTGAAAACCATTCAACACCGACCTGTATCGGTCTGCCAGGCGATCCAGACAAGATTTCTCCCGTAAATTAGAGACAAAGTGGGTGAGCTTTGCGAGAGTTCGGACAACCGAAACGTAGGAGCCGTTTGGATGGCGCCCGCAGTCGCCCTACCAACGCTTGGCGCGCCAACTATTTGGCGGGAGATTTCGCCGCCGGCGAATCGCCCTGCATGAAAAACTGGATGTGGTGACCAAAAATTTGGCTAGATCCGAAATTTGGGCAGCCACCAACGCTCGCCTGTGGCCTCAGTCAACGCCAAAATTTTGGCAGGGCTGTCGTTGGCTTCCATCCAAACGGCCCCGTAGGACTTCAACACCCCTGGCCCACCCAATCCCCCCTTCTGGTCTCAGTTTCTTCCACTCCGCCCTTCTCTCCCTTGCTTTCCATCTGCACCCTCCACCTCCACCGGCGGTGATGTATGTCTCTGGCCATTGCCGGACGTCCGGAACCAGCAGCGACGCGCCTACGATGGAGCTGCCCACCCCAGAGCCATTTGTACCCAGGTATTTCGCCCTATGTCGACGACTTCCATGGCGGACACCACGCCCGACAGGTGTTTGGTCAAATGACATTGAGCTTATTTTTAAATGGTGTGTCGTTTTTAGAATATGAAGGATGGTGAGCTACTCGACGATGGAAGATGAGTTGTTATGCGACGCGTGGCTGGCCGTATCCACGGATTTATAGGCGGGAGCAGAGGGGAGCCCTCCTGAGAGCAAGTGCATGAAAAGATTCACGCACGAAAGCACATTGCGCCCTAAGACATGTACATCATTCAACCACGCAACTTGAGGTTGTTGTCGTATCGCTGGCAGGCTATTCAAGTCAGCATCATCAAGTTTTGCGACGTGGTTCGTCAGCTCAAGGAAAGGTTATCATTGCACGCGGCAGAGGATGACATAGTAAGTTTTACTTCCTCTTGCTCTTGTTGATTGATTCATTCGTTCAATATTGGACTGTGCGTTATATGTAGCCTACATGTGCCGCCGTGGTGTACCACAGGACAGAGTGACGGGCATTTACGTGCATACGTTGTTGGATGAAGCTGAAGGCGGGTATGTGTGAGAACGACATGATCCGTTCATGAAAAACTTATTGGACATGTGGGATCTAGTCGAGTTAGAGAGATTGTTGTACTAGACTTAATTTGCATGCTATGTATGGATGATTTGTGCTATTTTCTATCCGAATTTAATGAATATCGTCCGGTTTGCATAAATTTCGTTCGATTAATTAAAATACAGTTTGAAATGTATGCAGTTAGCGTTGGATAACATCCTCCTGTATCGAGTTCGCGGATTGATCGTCTCTGCCCGCGGACGGCTGCGAGAGAATTTTTGCAGGTTGACTTTGAAGATGCCCTTCGAAGATCGTCTTGAAAGCAAAACAAGCTGACTAGACTGGCCAGAATCTGCATGAGACGAGATCGAGTAAGCAAGCATTTGTGTGTGCCTTCCTTGTCTGTTTGGTAGCCGAATCTTACATGGTACCGAGGGAAAAGCGCTTTACAGCCCAGAAAGCGGGAAAGGCGGAGACTGTCCTGCGCCGATACAAAGCGCCCATCAGCACCTCGGAACACTGAACTGGCAGCAGAAGTTGGTGGACGGATTTGGTGCAGTGCTGCGGCTCCTCCTTGGCCGTTGCCAGCACACTTTGCATATCCAGAGCTCACGATCGAGTCGGCGCAATTTCTTTTGGTTTATTTTCTGGAGTGAAGAAGCAGCAGCCTCCCGTTCTGGTATTCTTTGCTTGCGCGCCAAATATGCGAGCCCTGGTGGCCTTTGCGTACGTACGTCTGAATATACAATCGAGTGCACTTCGACATCGTAGCTGAGCAGGAGCTGCAATCATGGGCGGCCACTAGAATGTGATCGGGTCAAAGGTGAAAGCTTCCGTCGCTTCGAATAACAAGTCAGTGGAGATGGAGCTGTAGCCTGTAGGCATGCGTAGTGACTACATGCTGTTAACGCGCTGACTCTGAGCATTACTTGACTGTAGCTGTACCAGGTAGGTTGACTGCAAAACCCCTTTGCTACTGACTAGCTTCTCCGGAGACGTGCACAATGTTCTACTCCTTCTAGCTTAACAAGCCAAATCTACAGAAATATCCTGCTAATGCATATGTATAATATAAGTTAGTAAAACTGATGTTGTTGCTGCTGCTCTCGTTTGACGTAGAGAGGTCGCCAAGCGAAGCTAGTACTTCCTCCGTCCGAAAATACTTGTCATATAAATGGATGTATCTAGACATATTTTAGTTTTAGATATATTCACTTTTATCCATTTATGGACAAGTAATTCCGGACAGAGGGAGTACTACGTACCATTTAGCAAACAAGAGGCTTATAGGCAATTGTTTGGATGTGAATTGGGGACATTACCTTTCACGTACTTAGGTATACCCATTCACCATGTAAGCTGACAAACAGAGAATGGAAGTGTATCGAGGATCGGTTTGAGAAGAAACTGAGTTGCTGGAAGGGCAAAGTCATGCCATATGGAGGCCGATTGATTTTTATTAATTTGGTGCTCACGAGTATGCCTATGTTTTTATTGTCTTTCTTCGAAGTCCCAGTTGGTGTTAGGAAAATGCTGCACTTCTATCGATCCAGATTCTTCTGGCAGAGCGATGAGCTAAAGAGAAAATACAAACTCACCAAATGGGATATCATCTGTCGACCAAAGGACCAGGGGGGGCCTTGGCATTGAGAATCTTGAAGTCAAGAACAGATGTCTTCTCAGTAACTGGCTGTATAAGTTATCAGTTGAGACTGATGCCACGTGGGCGTAGATTCTCCGCAGTAAGTATCTGCAGTCCAAAACTTTGTCCCAAATGACAGTGAGACCGGCGGACTCACCTTTTTCGAAGGGGCTCATGAGAGTCAAAGCAGCCTTCTTTAATAGGACAAAGTTTTTAATCGGTAATGGCACTACCACGCGCTTCTGGGAGGATACTTGGCTTGGAGAAACACCGCTGACACTTCAGTATCCGTCCCTGTATAGTATTGTTCAATGACGTGATGCTTATGTTGCAACGATTCTGCAATCCATTCCTCTTAATATTCAGTTTAGGAGGACGCTTGTTGGCAACCGGCGGGTAGCGTGGCTTCATTTGGTGAGTAGACTGATGGAGGTTCAGCTATCTCATCAGCCCGATCAGTTGTGCTGGAAGCTTACTAGGTCTGGAGAGTTCACAGTTAAATCGATGTATAGCGATGTCATCAAATCTAGCGTCATTCCTAGTTCCAAATATGTTTGGAAAGTCAAAGTTTTTTTGAAAATTAAAGTGTTTATGTGGTTTGTACATAAACAAGTCATATTAACAAAGGATAACTTGGTAAAGCGTAACTGGATAGGATCTACTAGGTGTAGTTTTTGTGATTGAGATGAAACTATCAAGCACCTCTTCTTTGATTGTCCGTTGGCCAAAGTTTTGTGGCAGACGGTGCACATTACCTTTAACATTACTCCTCTGAATTCTGTCAGTACAATATTTGGAACGTGGCTTGTTGGGATAGAGTCCGAAATAGCTAGACATATTCGCGTATGAGTATGTGCTTTGTTGTGGGCAATTTGGAACTGCAGAAATGATTTGGCTTTTAACAGAATAACAAATATTCATTTTTTGCAGGTTATATTCCGAGCCACTGCGCTGATCCGTATGTGGTCGTTACTGGATCTATCCGGTGGGAGATGGTTGCACGGGATATCTTCAACCGGGTTGGGTGGCGGTCATGTAATAAGATAGGCGATTAGTTTTCCTATCTTTGTTATGCTAGCGGGTTGTGGCTTCTTGGCCTTTTGCTTTTGGCGTTGTGGCTCTTTGCGAGCTTGCCTTACTTTGTTTCATACTGTAAGACCTTGTTGAACCTTTTTGCTTATTTATAAAGGTGGCCGTATGCATCGTTCTGATGCAAAGGCCGGGGAGTTCCCCCTTTTCGAAAAAAGTCTCAGTCGACTGAGACTTCATTATGTCTTAGTTGATGCCATATTCCTTTGATCTTGTCTGGAGATTCATGCACAAGTTTTCTTTTCAGTTTTTCTTCTTATACTATATCACCTGTTTTTTTTTCGGGGAAAAACTTTCAATCTATTCATCTTCAATCATGGTAACACAACGAACTCTGGAAATTATAAAAATTACATCCAGATCCGTAGACCACCTAGCACCGACTACAAGCACTGAAGTGAGGCAAAGGCCCGCTGACTACAAGCACTGAAGCAAGGAGAAGACGCGCTGACTACAAGCACTGAAGCGAGGCGAAGGCGCGCCGCTGTCATCGCCCCTCCCGCACCGGA